GGGGGAAATAGAAACAGTTTTATCATACTGCACTTAGAGTATGAAGTATGGAATTTAGGAGTAGGTTCTTAGAAAAGGAGGAGTCTTAAACTCTTGAAAGCAAATACAAATATAGAAAAATAGAATTTTTATTCCATTGAATCTGTTGGAGTAAATCATGTTCCCAGCAGCAGTGATTGATGAATTATTTATGCTGCATTCTGCTACTTAGAAGTGTCCTTTAAAGTAAATTGATGTTCACCTGAAATACAATTATGCTAAGACAGAGAGAGCAATCAATCTTATCTGTTCTTAGTAAGCTTTTCATTTTGAAATTTAAATAAACTACATACAGGATCAGGACATATTTTAGTAGTATAATTTCATCTTCAAACCAAAATAAACTAAATGATAAAACACAAAGCCAGAGTTAAATATGTTATGACAAAGCTATAAATGCTTAATACAACAGGGAAAAATATATATAAATTTCTTGAAGAATGATTTCCCTTAGAAAATATTTTTACAGAATTGTTCTGGCAAGGGTTGAAATTTACTTTAACCGGCTTTTTCCGTGAGAGACACCTTCAGCATAGCTGAATTCCATTGAGCATGTTTGCCGAGCGCTAATGTCTCTATTCTGATCACATAGTTAGGAAAATCTTTTTTTTTTTTTTTTTTCTCAAAGAGTGCCCTCCATGAATGTCAACTGTCTGGAGAAATGTCCTTCGTTATCCCCACTCCTCTGTTTTCCCCCAGTTGAAGTTGTAGCGTCACAGTTACAGAAAATATCTAAGCTTTCATAAGGGCTACACAAATCAAATTTGATCTCCTGGTAGCAAGTTGATGTGAAATCAATTTCTGGATACAGTTTTTATTGTTTCTTTTCCCTCATTTGTGTTTATGGATTCGCTCGGCAGATTGAATAACCATAGTTATGTTATCTGGAAAGGACTGTTGCTTTGTAACAGTTTTTTCTTTGTCTTGTCATACTTTGTATGGTGTGCAAAATAGATCCATTTTTTGATATGCCCTTTTCAATTGACCCAGTCTGTTCAATTACTTATGAAACAGTTGGAATATACCCTCTGACTCCCATTATATTAAACTTTCATTGGAAGCTTGTGTTAATTTGGGCCGTTGTGCTCTGATACTTGATTTGGTTAATTTTCAGCTGAGGGACTCTATGTTTGTCAACATTGCATTTCATTTGCCTTGTGACATCTCATTGATCAGATGGATCTTTATCCTTCAGTACTTCCCTTGCAGCTTTATTTATACTCATCACTCAAGCTGATTTAGTGTATCATCAGCACTTTGGATTAGTTTACAGTAGATCTCTACGTCTGGGTGATCAATTATCATCTCTTGTGCAGGAAGATGTATGGGATGCATTTTGGAAATGACCTCCTGAACAGACACTACATGTCATGGTGCTGAGTGGTCACAGAGTTGATATTAATATATTTCCCATCCACGGGGCTCTGGGGAGTCTTGGTTTACGTGTTGTTGAAAGAGCTAATCTGGATTGTCAGCGCTTGCCTCTGCTGGAAAATCTATTCATCGTTTTTACATTAGCCAGGGCTATTTCTACGTTGACAAATGGAAGTTTATATTTATAGACAGCCCCAGGTTTGGACTTACAGGCGTTGGCATCCCACATTGCAAATAGTTATTTTTTGTTTTGTATATTTTTTCCTCCCTTCATCCTTTTATTCCTTTTCTCCTCTCTCCATCTTTCTTTTCCTTTCCTTTTTTTTTTAAGTACTTGGAGTTTAGCTGTTATGTTGCACACAGGAATAATATAATGATGGTTTCTTCTAAAACTTGTGTTCTCTTATATTTTTTATATCCTTATGGCCCATCTTAAGGTCTTCTGAGAACAAGACAATTTTTTAGAAATACAACCACAAATATATAAAATACAATATATGTGCAATATAAATTTAAAATAGAATATAAACAATTATGTAGTAATAGAAGTATAATATTTATATATTAAATATAATAAAAACAATGTAGAAAAGTGGATCATTTCACATGTTTATATTTAACTTAGGAAGTATCTGAGTATTGAGTCAACTACCTTTTTTGTAGCTTTTGCAATAGTTTGTATTGGACAATATATTTCAAGTTTCAATTCACACGTATATCCCTCAGGAGGAAGGGACTCCAGAGGCTTTTTGAGAAAAGTTTTGTTTCTAATACCCATATAATCCATTTGATCAGCTACTAACAAGTATAGGAAACAGTTTCATACTGAATAACCACAACTTTCCTTGCTCTGGTCTTTTTGATTTGTTTGACCTAATTCCCTTATTTCTTGAATTTTGTCTGATGCTTAAATGGTTCAGTCTTGCATAGATTTTAAAATGCATTGCCTCAAAACGTCTTTGTAACTAGAGAGTACATACATTCATAAAAAATTAGTCCTGACTACCATTAATACACGTTAGCTTCCGTTTTGATGTTTAAATTGAAAGTTAGAGCAAACCAAGCTTGAACCCTTGCTGGATTATGAATGCCACTCATAAGTAACATATTTTTAAAACATAGAAATGTTTATATTTTTGCAGACTCTCTGTATCTACTGTTCTTCCATAGTCCATTTCTCAAAATAACAGCCGGCATATCTGGGAACTCAAGAGGCAATGAAATAGGAGAAACGATTCTTCTTCTTGTTTCTAGTTAACGATAAACTGCCTACTAGTCACCAAACTGTTCTCGGCCTCTGACTTTAGAATTATAAAATACAGGCATTGGACGAAATACTCTCTAAGATTTTTTTCATCTTTCAGATTCTCTGAATCTAAGATTTATTTAATCCATTTCACTAGTTAGACAGTTAAGGTTTGATACGTTAATTTTGGACAGCTGTTTCAATTTGATGACAACATTGGTAAACTAGGCATGCAAAAGTGAGTGCACCCTGTTCTTGAATCTTCAGTTTATCATGTGAATATTAAGACTGTATGGCTTTGAATGTACACAAGACTCTAAGTATTGTCAAATTAGGCCAGCATTTGTTGTTAATAGACAATTTTTCCTGTTAATTTTGTAGGTAGTCAGAAACGACTTACGCTTCCTTTGCTTTATAATTACCTTTTATACTTTGTTACACTTTCATATTTTGCTCTAGGTACTTGACATGTGATTAAGCTACAGTTGTCTTAGGTGGCATTTTCTAAGGACTTACTTTTTGAAATTTCTTGATTTTCAGAGTATTTGCTATCTTCTCTAAGGTCAGAGTTCCTACTCGTATCCCTGAAATTGGCTGGAATTAACTCTGCTTCCAGATCTGATGGCACTGAGTGTATTGAAGGTCGGTCTGGAGGAGGATCACCACCCCCTTCAATGAGTGTCATGCTAGGGGATTCAGACAAGGGATAACTCCTTTTCTCAGAGGCAAAACGTGGAGCTGCTTTTGGTGCCAAGGAAGGCTCAGTGGAACTTAGACTTTTAAGGTCTCTGTTCCCGTTCTCAATGTCCCACACTTTCTCAGTCAGTACCCTGATTTTCACATAAAATGAAAAAAGCCCTAATAAAGTCATGAAATTTACTTGAATTGTAATTCTACCACTCGGAATTTCAAACCATACTCTGCTTTTCAGTTATACTGATTCTAAGTCTACAAGAGATACGAGACTCTTTTAGCTTAGTCATAAAAGCTCTCTGGTTCCCTGACCTTCAGCTGAGAAGTTAAAGCATGGAGGTTGTAATTTTCTTTTTGCAATCTCTCCAGTCTAGTCA